GGGGCCCGTGGGGCGGGGGGAAGCGAGGCCAGCGGGGGCCCAGCGGCCTCGGCAGGGGCGGCGCGCACCGCTCGTGCTGGTGGAGCCCCGAGGGGCGCGGGGCTTGGCCCCGGGGCCGGTCTGTGGTAAGGCGGAGGCGCTCGAGGGGCTGCGGGCTGGCGGGGGCTAGGGGGGCTGTTTGGCATCTGGAAGGGGCAGGGAAATCCCGATCGAGGTGCTGCAGTCAGTGCTTGCCGAATCCAGCTTGTGGCCGGAGGACAGTGGTTCTCTGTGAAACGCCAGCAGAGCCCAGCCCGTTGTTACTGTGGTTGTAGTCTCACAGGTGCGGCTTTTCAGCACTTGGAAACTGCGTCTGCTCACAGTGCATATGTGCAGTGAAGGCGGTTTGCCAAAAGCAGGGTGACACGTATTCACCAGCAGACGTGATACCCACGTCCCACCCTCAAGATGTATTTGACAGCATCGAGTTAATGCAAGACTTCAAGATTGTGGCTAATGCCGTGTTCCTCATGGATTCAGGGATGGGATGTGCCCACGGACATGCAAGCTGCAGCCTTTTGGAATGCAGCCTGCTTCTGCTGCTGATGGCAAGCCAGCTGGTCTGAAGCACTCACGCTAAGGGAGATGAGATGTATTAGGCCAAAAAGCTCTTTAGAGGAACAAAGGAACAAATTTACATAGACTTAGTATGAGATACAAGAAGCGTTTTTGAAAGGTTACTTTACTCCCCAAATGAAGGATCTTTTGTACCAATTGCATGTACATTTTAAAATGGTATCCCCTACTCATTTCATAAAATACAGAAAACGGATAGAAGTAGAGGGCCACTCCTATTTGTTTGATGTGCTGCATAAGCAGCCCTGTATTATTCTTAAGAGATAAAAAGAGTTGCTGATCAGTGTTATTTCAAACCACACTTACAGGTTCAGTGCCTTCCACTTTTTTTTTGCAAGAACACAGGAAAGGACAAAAAGGTTGATGCTACTGCTGTCTTTTTTGATGCATACGTGGAAATCTGTAATGCCGATCTAGGGTCCCAGTGTGGTATTAAAAAAGGGAGCATTCAAATTGCTGCAGTGTTTTATATTTCAGGAAACCAGTTTCTACTGAAGTGAAATTGAGCTTCCTTATCTGCTGATGTTGGGCATATAGCAACAGTTTGTACCATGCTGTAAACTAGGATATTTCTGCAAGTCTTAGAGACTGCTGTGCCTGTAGTGATTAGAACCATAGACTTCACCTGACACTCAGCTGTAAAGGATATGTTCAGGTGGAAATTCTAGAGATCTATAATTAACATAGTTGATATATTGTCTTATTCTTAGCTTCAGTTAACATTGTCACACTTTACAATGAATATATTAAAAAAAAGTGATAAGTTAGTATGGCTTGCTCTCAGAGAATTTTCAGTTTACTTTCTCTGCAATTTATATCCTAGAGCAAATACCTTCTCTTTGCTGAGTTAATTGTACATAAATGTAAATACTTTCCCCATTATATTGGATATAGATCTGAGAGCTATTTTGAGTACTCTGAGCGAACGCTTTCTATTAACCTATGTTAACCTTGTGCCAACTGCTAGAAAAAACTAAGACTAAATAGTTCTTGTCAAGTAACAGAGGTTGTATTTTAGCAAATAATGCCCTTAGTGTGTTCTTTTCCCTAGCATACTAGATTTTTATTGAGGGAGGCAGCTTTCCTGCGCTGGAGAAGGTAATGGAAGGCCACATCTTGACAGTTTAGCACACTGGTTTAAAATGGGAATCTCGCAAATTTGGGAACTAGATATTGACTAAATTTATTCCTAATCACTTCTGTGTACCCAATCTGAAAAACTAGATACTGGAGTTTGAAAGATTTAAAAATCACTTACTGGGACAGTTAGCTTTGACAGCAGTTTAAACTTCTCTAAAGGGGGATGTCTGATCTGGCATTTTTAATCTTAAAAATGACACTGAAGATTATTAAGAGCATGGAAATTAAGTCAAAATAAATCAAATTTCTTCATACCATGTTTTTAAGGGAAATGTTTGAGCAGAAAGTATGTCTGTCTTTTCTCAGATAGTTACTGTATTCTGTAACATTTTTTCCTTGAAATTTGAAAAAAGCAACAACAAAAACTTTAAACCCATAACTGCTTGCAGGTCCTACTATGTCCTTAACAGGTTTCATAACATTTTCACTGAATGGAAAATGGAATAATTCACAAATCACTTGTTATCTACCAAAAATACCATCTAGTAACCATTTGCTTACAACTTAGAATTGAAATGTATAATTACAGGAATGCTACCAAGACTTTGAAATAACTTACCCATCATTTGAAAAACTTAATTAAAATATAATATATTTTATGTTAGTTACTTTTTAACTGAAAGTGTTGTCGTTTCATATTGTTTTTCTTGCAGCACCTGCCACCGTGCGTTGTGTCCATAATGATGTCACAGTACCTGACTTCTCTGCCTACCGTCGTCAAGATGTGCTAGATGCCACGGCATCTTCTCAAAGCAGCAGTGAAGCTAGAAAAGGGTTTTCCTACCTGCTGACTGCAACAACATGTGTAACTGCTGCGTATGCTGCTAAGAATGCTGTCACCCAGTTTATTTCCAGCCTCAGTGCTTCTGCTGATGTGCTAGCATTGTCAAAGATTGAAATCAAGCTGTCTGACATTCCGGAAGGCAAGAACATGGCTTTCAAGTGGAGGGGGAAGCCCCTCTTTGTGCGCCACAGAACCCAAGCAGAGATTAATCAGGAAGCTGAAGTTGATCTGTCTCAACTGAGGGATCCACAGCATGATTTAGACAGAGTAAAGAAGCCAGAATGGGTCATATTAATAGGTGTCTGTACTCATCTGGGTTGTGTACCAATTGCTAACTCTGGAGATTTTGGTGGTTATTACTGCCCTTGCCATGGGTCCCATTATGATGCTTCTGGCAGAATCAGGAAAGGTCCTGCTCCACTTAACCTTGAGGTTCCAACTTACCAGTTTATTAGTGATGACGTAGTTGTTGTTGGCTGAATAATCAAGTGCTTGCTCGTTTTCTTGTTCTGATGAATGTACACTCAAAAGGGTTAACTGATCCTCTGGGATACTGTCAAACCAGATGATCCTGAATAAACATTAGCTGTCTTGACTCAACCTGAAGTATGTTCGAATACTTCCCTATGTTCAATTGTAATAAAAACTTTGAGTGAGCACTCGTTCTATGATAATGTGTGTTTGTGTTCTTAGTGTGTCTTGTCAAAGAGATACCACAGCATACCCCAAATATGTTTATGCAGCCCTCCTGAAGGGATGCTGATTCAATATTGATAATGAACTACACAGCCACAGCTTTTCCTGTACCACATATATTCATTACTTGTAGTTAGTTTATACTGCAGTATAGTAAGAAACACCTTTTAAAAAATCCTACAATGAACTTCTAACACTGGAGTCAGTTTCAGTATAGAATCATATTAAATGCGATCCTTTTACTTCCTATGTAGTTTTGTTTGTTTTTGAGGGAAGTGAAGGGAAAAATACATAAATACAAACATGGAAAAGTTATTTTAAATTCTTCAGAGGCAGGGTATAGTTGTTTAGCTACTAGGGTAGCAATGTTAATTTTATGATGATGCAGACAAAAAGTAAATGTGTCATAGTAGAATTTCAATATATATTTTTTTTAATTTCCAGATGAGGCTGAATGTTATACACACCTAAACATTAGATCATATACTTAGAACACTGGAAAATCTTTGATGCTTCCACTAGCAAACTGAGAAAGGGAAACTCAACAGTGAACACTAAATTGTAAGAACCACTCAGTCTGGACTAATCTTTAAGGTTAAATGTAGCAAAAGGTTTATACATAATCAGACTTTTAAGATCCCACATGATTTGTGTGAAAATAAATATTTCACATCGCTCATAGGCTAAGGTCAATAAAAGCTAAAACTTTGAAGTCTCTTTTACCTTAATGCTGACCCCTGGGCTATGGAGAAACAAATACAGCCTGAAACCAGTAGATTTAACTAGCATTGGTCGTGCCAGTGGTACAAAACAAAGATAGCAATTAAGTGCCTAGGCAACATATAGGGAGAAACAAGGTTTGCTGTTTCCAGAAGGAAAAAAACATCTATCTGCTACTTCCTGTATGCTTTGTGTTGTTCACTGCTGTTCTGTGATCACTTAGTGTCTTGTGGTGCATTAAGTGGGCTGGGATAGTTTGTCTCACATCTCATATATTTCGCATATGCCTCATGTAAAGCTGTGTTGACAGCTGGATTAAAGCTGAAACTAAATAGAATTAAGCAGAGTATTGATGACTATAGCTCACCTGTTCTAAGACAATTCAGGTAGGAAAATGATCACAGATAACTACTACTGGAATTTTTAGGTATGCATTCTACAATTTCATAACTTTAAGCTTTACACCTTATCACTATGTCTACAAAAGCATTCTCAAGACTTTCTTGTATAATAAATCACACTACACAAGAAATGCAAGAGATGTTCCCAAGCTTGTATGCAAATAATTGGTCATATATGTGCCCTGTGTTATATAGTGGATCTTTCTTTACTCAAATTTTGTATTTCAAGAAAAGCTAACTAACTTCTGAAATAGTTAAAAATATAAATTTAATATAAATTAAAGCATTGCTCTTCAACTCTCAAGTGGTTACTACTATCCTAAAAATGTCTTCTTTTAATCCCACAGTTAGATTACTTAGGCCTCATCATGGTTTATATAGACACTGAGTAACTGTGCTAACAGTAAATTAGCTCCCTGTAAATCGGGGAGTGACCAGGGCAGTTTCTGAATTCACAAGTGAAATCTAGCATGTCATGGTTGGGCTTAAATGTCCATCCATAAAATTACAGGATAAGCTGCTATTTAAATTACGTCATACTAACTTGGTGGCAATCTTACCAGTCTACAACTAACGTAGTGCCATGATATGGCATGTCTGTGAGCAGAACAGCTTTTACTCTACACATGAGAAGCCAGCAGTACCTCTGCTTCACCAGACTGATGACAGAAGTTGAAGTATTGCTTCATAGACAATGCAGATGTGATAGCCTCCGTCCTCTCTTCAGTTAAAGGCTTTGTTCTCCTTGTAGTTGCAAAAAGGTCATTTGTAACAAGCCAAGCGTGCACTGGAAAAGAATTTGGATTTATTAGAATTTGAGAAATAGTTTTTTTAAATCTCCATAATCTCATATTTTTGTGCTACAATTATGGGTACAAAATTTAAAAAAATATATAGTAATAATTCAAATTGAACAGGACAGACTCCTGGGCAGCTGTCCTTTGTCCTTAAGCAAGAAGGGTGTAGATCACCTCTACAGGTCCTTTCCAGCCTCTGATTCTGTGATTTGTGAGAGTCGTGCCCAGCTACTGCATTGGCCTTTCTGGGACAAGAAGCCCCAGAAGGCCCAAAGTCCCAATCAGAGAAGCATGACTCCAGCAGTGATAACCCTCCATGCAGTGATGTGCTGATGGCCAGGACTGGGTTCCAAATCACCTTGAGGGCAGAGATGCCCTTGGAAGGAGCTCTCACTACCACTACTAATTACAGTCATTACCACCATACATAATGAGTTGTTTTGCCCTTTTCATAGGGTAAATTCTCTAATTCATACCACAAACAAGAAATGCCAGCTTCCTGAAGAGGCTGCTTTTTTGGTGAATTGGCTATTGGTTTGCATGGCCATCAGACCAAAGAGCTATTGAGAACTGCAGAATTTCATAGCAGATTCAGGGCATTTTATGTTTAAGGGTATTTAATAATTAAAACAGAGTACTCAAAAACATGATAGAAAATTATTTAATAAATGTCTGTTTATGCAAGGGGGGAGGCTTTGTGCATACAAAAATTCTCCTCTCATGCCTACACTTAAACAGGTTATAGGAATAGCAAGATGCAGCTAAGTAAGATCAGATTTATCTCTTAGGTTAGAGGCATTGGGGGTTTTTGTTAGGCTGGTGTTTAGGGCAGGAGGAGGAAGAGGATAATACAAGCAGTTTATTTTGTAACCCTAGCTATTTTGTATAATTCATGTAGAGTGGGCCACTGATGACAGCACCCTTTAGGCAGCATTATTATTTGAAATAAAACAGAGCTTTCCTTCTGAATCGCAACAAGTGTGATAGAGCATTTCAGATGTCAGTCTGAAATGTCACCTGTAGAACACTTAACCCCTGCCTTCAGAAGAACCTCTCAGTTGTGACAGTCTACAGCTGGGTTTTTTCCCTCTCTTTTCAGTTCCTACTGAATGGTAATTTTGTACTTAAGTACTAAAATACCATGAGTTTCAGTAGCTTTTCTAGCAGTTTGTCCGGAATTATATATATCCCAAAGATTTGAAGTACACTGGGGTCTTTTGCAAGTTAGAATTAAATACCTGTAACAAGGTTTGGCTGATAGATTTCCCACTGGAGTACCTGATATCCATAATGGCCATTGCAACTTTTGACCTAGCAATTACTCTTTCCCCACAACAGCATCAATTTTGACTGCCTGATAAGAAGACAGCATATGTACGGCAATATTATTTTTTTTATACAGCTCCTAAGATGCTTTCTTTTCTTTTCTTTTTTTTTTTTTTTTTTTTTTTTTTTTTTTTATTGGCCTTTAATATTTCCATAGCAGAAACAACTATTTATGGTTGTTTCCATTTTTTTTTAATACTTCTGCTTATGATTGCAATACAAATTAAAGATATTACTCTCCTAGCCACTATACTTGACACTGGTTAAGAAGATGAGTAACTGCTTCAAAACTTCTGCATTGCTTCCACCTAAATAAAACATTGCTCTTGGCTCTCAAGGTGTATCTACATTGTATATCTGGTAGACAAACTCTGAGAAAAGAAAAATAACTACATACACATGTATATGTACCTGCAAATGAGTAAATGTCAGGCTCTTAAAATGTAATGATTTCATCATTAATAGGGTATCTTCTATACCAGCTTTTGAAAGGCTGGACACGCATCCGATAATTTTAGGCCATAATTACAGTGTCACTCAGCTTGTCCTGCTCACTTCTCTTAACCTACTGGAAGAGTTGTTCTTGATCATTTAATTTAATTGAATGTGACAAAGATCTTCTTACCTTGTGCCAATCATTTTTCAGAAACATTTGTTTTTGAAGACAGTTTCCTATTTTGACAGATAATCTGTCCTTACTTCTAATTCACACCCATCAATGTGGGCCATTCTGACACACAGTCTATAAATCACCAACTATTTTCAGCCTGAATTTCTTGTCATCTCTAAGCTGCTCCACTGAGGTCACTAAAGGTTGTCATTGCTAGTGCTATTTATCTTCCAATTTTTTCATCCTCTACCTTTTCAGTTCATCTGATTTCCCTGATAAACATATTTCCACTTATACCAGCAGGTCACCTGCTCTGCAGTAGATAACACATCCCTCAGCTGCTCACACAGAGAGCAGTGCCACTCCGTGCGCGCTGCACTGTGAGCACACTTAAAAACTCTGGGCCCTTCACTTCCACTGCACCTGTAAGCCCCAAAACAAAACAAAACCAAACAAAACCAAACCAGGACTGATGGGTAGATTATGTAGCGAGGTGGGGGTTGGTCTATTCTCCCACGTGCCTGGTGACAGGACAAGGGGGAATGGGCTTAAGTTGCGCCAGGGGAGTTTTAGGCTGGATCTTAGGAAGAACTTCTTTACCGAAAGGGTTGTTAGGCATTGGAACAGGCTGCCCAGGGAAGTTGTGGAGTCACCATCCCTGGAAGTCTTTAAAAGACATTGAGATGTAGAGCTTAGGGATATGGTTTAGTGGGGACTGTTAGTGTTAGGTCAGAGGTTGGACTTGATGATCTTGAGGTTTCTTCCAACCTAGAAATTCTGTGATTCTGTGATTCTGTGATTAACAGAAGTCTGGAAGATTAGTGGTAATGTCCTGGAGTCATGGTTGAACTTGGGATTTTGATCAGGGGAAGCAAACAAGGTGGACTTAGCTTTAATAAGGTGCTGTGATCTTTTAGGAGCAAGTCAAGGAAACAAAGTTCAAATGAACGCATGGGAACTGACTGAAAAGTAGTCCTTAAAGAGTAGTTAGCGATCACCGCCAGGCACAAATAGCTTTTGAAGGATGAAAGAAACAAGTGGGAGTTACAGATTTGGGTCATATCAATATTGAGCGCTTTCAATAGCAAGTTGGGTAGTAGAATAGCAACATACTTAGATTTGAAGATGAAATTGAACAAGCAAAGGACACCAACATCTTAAAAGACATGACTAAAATGCAAGACAATTTCAATTACAGTTGCTCACAAACTGAGAATGAAACAATATCATCATAGGGCTGTGGAAAAAAAAAAAAAAGGCAAATGTCTAGCTTGGATGCAAAAATAGGGCTTACATGTTCTGTATTAGCATTCATGAAGGTCCAAATGGAACCAGACATTTCTAGGAAACAGTGTTGGATATTGGAGAGACTCCAGAAGAGGAGGACAAGAATAAGTAGAGGTCTAGAAAAGGTGAGCGAGAGAGAGGGTTGAAGGAAGGAAATCAGATTGTTCAGCCTAATCAACATTGAGAAGATAAACGGTAACAGCCTCGGCTGATACAAGTGAAAACTATCAAGCACTATTCACATTTACCATGGACAGATAAAATAAAGGCTTTAAGTTGTAGCAAGGGCAGTAGAAGTAGGACATGAGAAAAAATAAAAAGTGTGAAGCTATCCTACAAAAAGTATGAAGAGTGCAATACTGAAAGTGTAACTCTTTCAACCACATTGTAGCTGTTTGCACACAAACTGGATTAATTCAGCCAAAGATCCTATGGAAAGAAAGCATGTTGTTTGCCCATTCAGTATGTCCTATTCTGTAACTTAAAATATTTTAAATGTTCTTCTATATAAGTTGGGGCAGACTTTATGTGCAAAGCCCACCAGTCTATAAATAAATATTGTTTTAAATAATCCTTTTTTTTAAAAACAAAACAAAACAAAAAAAAAAAAACACAAGGAAAACAGAAATGTCTTCAAAGATATCCAGGTCATCATGAAACAGATCGTTGCAATTGAAGCATACAGCACACAGGTACAATGGTGGCCTAAATCCATCTCATTTTATGTACTAAACTGAATGGCGCTGTGGGGCTTCAACCTTAAGTGGCAAAATAAATGTGCCATGAAACACTAATGAACCACAATTTCCTGAATGCCAAAGTCCCACTGTGTACAGTATAGCCAGAATCACAGCCTCTGTTCCTTTGGTGGTGAAGATTTAGCAACCTGCAAAGAAAAAATCTCTTGAATCTGTGAATGCACTTCTTCCCATCATGCTCATGGTATTTAAGTTATTTTCCCTTCCATTTACTTTCCACAAAGCTCAGAGGTGGTAGAAACTGCCCCATACTGTGGTTTTCTGCTGTCTTTCATTTATCAGTAGTCTATCAGTATGTTTCTCCCAGGTGAGATATACTCTATTAGCATTTTTGCCAGCTTCTTGTACGCTGCTTTTTTACTGTCTTTACCTAAGTGAGCATTAGAAGTCTTGTTTTCTAGCTGTTTTTTAGGTGCTTGAGCAATGCAAAACTGTATTGTATATTTCCCCCTATAATTAATCAGTATCAGTTTGATCTTCATGAGAGAAAAAAGATCCGAACAGTGCACATGTTTGTCTCTGTTACAGCCTTTAGACTTAGCTGCAAAACTATTTTCTGTGCAGCTTTTGGAAACATCTACATTTATCTGTTGATATTTCTATTCTGCAATAAATTACAATGAAATAATACTGAAGTCCTTAACTACAATTATCTTTAGCAGCTCAATTAACTCATATTTATAAAAATACTTTCATCTAAGGATCTCAAAGACTGCCATTACTATTATCTTCTAAGCTGCATCCCAGTTGCACTGTAGTGTGTATTCCTGAATGACATACTGCTTTGAAGTCTTCAAGCGATACAAGAAAGTCATGGCTTAGGGATGTTTTTGACAACTAATTGCACTTTTTGATAAAACTCTTCCAACTCTGTGAGAACCTAAGTTGCAGTGCTTTCATTATTCTTGGTTCATATTTTATTTAGGCCAAGATTAGGTTGTCACTTGCTCGTCTCCAGTTTCTGACTCTCTGTTAATGTCTTTCAATGTGACCACTGAAACCTGTATTT